TAGATCACAACTGATCTTTTCCTATACCATCGTCAGGGAATGCGCAGATGAGGAGTGGTAGAGACCGCCACCTCAAAAGCCTTCCAGAGAGGAGGAGAGGGGGAGAGAGTATGTCTGCACCCAATGTGCATTACCTGTTTGGTTCCTCACACCTGCAACACTACCCTTGAACGCCTATTCACAAAGCTGTCATCTGACCATGAGCAACAGCCATTTTAAATATGCACAGTTCAGTTCAACTGCCAAGTGATTGTGGCTTATATTTTCAAATCATATAGAAGGAGGTTTGAAATCTGATGCCTTTCTTCTTCTTGGTGGAGGAAAGTTGCATTAACACTGCTCCCTTTTCCTGCACAGAGCACCGGATATAGGGATTTAGGATGCTTATTGGATGGGGTGCAAAACTGAGAAGATCCATAACTGAGAAGATCCATTTGGGGGTGCCAAATTTTGGGCTTACTCAGGGTTCCTCATTATCAAAGTTTGCCCCTGCCATAAAAACATATTCCTGTTCACTAAGGAATATCTGATTGGTTGGGAGCATCCATATGACCAATCCACAAAGGAAACAGAAGCAGAACCAAAGATGCATAGTGAAGCCAGTGACACCCAGCAGGATAGAAAAAGGGGAATATTTTTACTATTAAACCAATTTCAGGGAGATATTTCTAAACCCTTCTCCTCAATTACTATTTTTGGGCCAACAATAAAAATGGGAAGATAATTATTTGCAGCCCAGAATTTTTAGCACTTGTTGGTAGAATGACACTGGAGTGAACAAGAGAGAAGAAACTTACATAGAAATGCATGGAGAATGCAGGCAGAACTGTCTTCCTTGAAGAATCTATTTTCCAGCATTTCATTACTTTGAAGTTAATCTCCCGAGTGCTCAGTGCCCTTTTTTTCCTTTCTAACTCGGTGCTTCCTGAAATGCACTTCCATTTGTCTGCCTTGTGTTAATTTTCCTTCAAATGCCGCGTGCTGGTGAACATTAGGATCATAAATGCTCCCTCCTTTCTATTCTTCTTTCTGCCAGGTTCCTAAGCATGTCTTGCTCTGTTAGCTCTGCTATCAGTCTGCTGCAATGAGACTGACTTTCACCTTTTGGTGATCCACTGCATTAGGAAGGTGAGACTGAGAGTAAATGCAGGGCACCCAGGACCTGACCCATGGCTAATGACCCATGGCATTCCAAATACATCCTTTGTTTCTGGAGTAATAGTCATCAGCTCAGATTCTTAAGAATGGCAAGTTTCCTGAGGATTATAGCCGGTGTGAAGTTGGAATCCAAGTTGAAACATAGGGCCTGGTTCCAGGGCAGCTGAGAGGCAGGTGCAGGGGTAGTTATGTACAGTTTCTCTCTCCAGGCCTCATGGGAAAAAAAATATGAAGGAGAATGTGCAGGCACCTTTCTAAGTGATTTATGTGAGATGAGCCACTTGGCTGTACCCACCTACCAGTGGTTTTTAGCCATTGAGTGAAGTGAGAGCTGTGATTGTATGTTATTTGGACACCATGTGAGGCAGGTTAGGCTGAGAGCTGGGTGGAATCTAGACACATATAAAAAACAACAATGCTGTTCAAAAAAGCATTTTGAAAAATAGATTGAATTTGCTATAAGCTAACCATCGCCATCTAGTGTCACACTTGTATAATGCACTTAAAACATACTTAAACATTATACAGTGGTGCCCTGCAAGACGAATGCCTTGCAAGACGAAAAACTCGCTAGACGAAAGAGTTTTCTGTTTTTTGAGTCGTTCCGCAAGACGGATTTCCCTATGGGCTTGCTTCGCAAGACGAAACGTCTTGCGAGTTCTTGCGAGTTTGTTTCCTTTTTCTTAAAGCCGCTAAGCCGCTAATAGCTGCTAAGCTGCTAAGCCATTAAGCTGTTAATAGCCACTAAGCCGCTAATAGCCGTGCTTCGCAAGACGAAAAAACCGCAAGACGAAGAGACTCGCGGAATGGATTAATTTCGTCTTGCGAGGCACCACTGTATCTGAAGCTGTATAGCTGAGTTCCTGGTGATTGGCCCATGACAGCAAGTGAGCAAAACCAACGATGAGTTAAGGATTTAAGATATAGTCTTCCCCAGCCCTACCTGGAGTCACCATGAATTAAACCTGGGATTATTTGCATGCAAAGCACACGCACATGCGCACACTCACACACTGGGATGGGGAGGCGTTTTGTTCTTGCCCTTGTTACACTATTAGGAGCCAGAAATCCTTGCTGATCTACTTCAAATTATCCAGAGATCTTTCAGTACATCCTGACCTACCTTTTGCCCACTTCTGGCCTAAAGGACTAGCTAATGCATAAGATTCTGCTGCTGAGCATCTCCAAAACTCTTTTGCAGTAACCTCTGGGAGCGATGAGACCTGAAGCCATGCTGTCACTCTCAGGGAAATTCTACAGCAGAAGAAGAAGAAGAAGAAGAGTTTGGATTTGATATCCCGCCTTTCACTCCCTTTAAGGAGTCTCAAAGCGGCTAACATTCTCCTTTCCCTTCCTCCCCCACAACAAACACTCTATGAGGTGAGTGGGGCTGAGAGACTTCAGAGAAGTGTGACTAGCCCAAGGTCACCCAGCAGCTGCATGTGGAGGAGCGGAGACGCGAACCCGGTTCCCCACATTAGGAGTCTACCGCTCTTAACCACTACACCACATTGGCTCTATACAGGGAATAAATATGACTGCTCCTATGGTGTGTGCATAGAATCTCCCTGAGAGCAAGAGTGTCCTGAACCCCTGGCCTAACTGGTGGCAAATCATGGTGTCAAGTCCCGAGGCCAGGGTCAATCTATGTGTCTAAACCAAAGCACAGTCCCGTGGAAGTCCCAGAGCATCCAGGTAAAGGTCCATCAGAATGGGCAGCTGAGCAGACACAACACCGCAACTCTGCTGCCCTTTCATATTTTGCATGCTGTTTGCATCATCTGGGCTTGATGTGACCCTCACCTGTTCCAAGCCTACTTCAGCTAAGAAATCCCACACCTCCTCCTAGAGCTAACGACCCCTACCTGGCCAGCTAGGTTGCTGGGCTGTTGGCCCTTGCCTGCCTCACCCTCTGCTCCTTATGCCTCAGAGTCCACCATGTTTGTGGAGACAGGGGCTCCTCTAGCTCTGGTGATGGGTCCTGCTGTTCTGGTTCCTGTGCACTGACCCCCTATCCCCTCGTCATTCTCTGTCACCCTATAAGTACTTACGACACCAAACTCTCTGTCCCAATCCTCAGCTTGCCCTGGTGTGTCCCAGTCCCAGCTACACCCCTTGCAGGGATCCTTTCCCTCCTCTTCCTCCTCCCCATTGTTCTTCTGGTTCATGACAAACAGCATGTCATCAGGTCCCTTCACTCCCAGGGGCCATTTTCAATATGCATAGTAGTAGGTGCCCTGCACACTAGCTACACCTCTAGGTGGCTGGCATTAATAGAAAAAGAATGGAAAGGGGAAAGGGGAAAGGGGAAAGGAAAGGAGATACTCAGCCCATTTCATCATGGAATCTGGCAGAACTGAGGATTCTGAGGTGGACCAACATCTGATCCAAGCAGTGCATATTGGGTGATCCAGCCTTGGAAGGTGAGTTTATGAAATTCCTCCCCATCCCTATGTGACAGTATCATCAATCACCCCTGAGGGCAGTACTAGGCTAGCTTAGGGAGTGAAGGGCAGGCTGTGCTCCAATAGCTTTCTGCCACTTTGCACCTCCCAGAATCCATGGCTTTAGCCAACTGCATAATCATGCCCAATGGATGGAGCTTGTCTTAATAGCTGTGTGGATCCATGAAAGTGTTTTTTCTTCTCACCGGGGCGTGAACAGCTGCTGTAATGCATGTTTGGTAACATATTTTTGATGAAAAGAAAAGAAACGATGATACCCTTCCAACTGAAAATAGTCATGTAGTGTAGAAAGCTCAAAGTTTTTGTTTGTGTCTGTGAGTTTATAGAAGCCAAAGTGTTGTATCTTTCCTGTACATTCACAATCAAACATAATCATCCAGACTTATTTCACCATTACAAAGAACTTGAATTCTGTGCTGGGATGACATGAAATCAATGGATTAGCTTCGCAAACTGAGGAGTCAAGAATCAGGAGTGTCTTGGTCCCAATTGAAATAAGCACTTGCCTATGAGCAACTCAGGGACATGGGTGGCTCTGTGGTTTAAACCACTGAGCCTAGGGCTTGCTGATCGGAAGGTCAGTGGTTTGAATCTCCACGGCAGGGTGAACTCCTGTTGCTCAGTCCCAGCTCCTGCCCACCTAGCAGTTCGAAAGCATGTCAAAGTGCAAGTAGATAAAAAGGTACCGCTCCAGCGGGAAGGTAAATGGTGTTTCTGTGTGCTGCTCTGGTTTTGCCAGAAGCGGCTTAGTCATGCTGGCCACAAGACCCGGAAAAACTGTCTGCGGACAAACGTCGGCTCCCTCGGCCAGTAAAGCGAGATGAGCGCCACAACCCCAGAGTCGTTCATGACTGGACTTAACTGTCAGGGGTCCTTTACCTTTACGAGCAACTCAGATGGATTTCAATCTGATTTAGTCATACCATTCTCTGGACTGTGATCACAGACATTCAGGCTTCCCAGGTTCTTTGAAGCAGAAACAGGGTGGAAGGATATTCTTGTAAATAGATGTTATTTAATGAAACAATAAAATGTCATTTTCTTTTATTCGTGAATATGGTGCAATTGAGATGTATAGCACTTCATATAATAGCTTTATAAACAGTAAACAGTAGCAACAGTATGGGGGATGGGGGAATTTGCTCTCTTCCCCATTCCTGCCCATTCCATTTTGTGACACAGCCCCTCCCCATAAACATAGACATGACAAGAAATGAAGACTCAGCTCCTCCTTTTCACGTTTATTTCGTTTTTGTTTTTTTGTGGGTTTTTTTTTAAGACCACAGAAAGAGCAGAGCATTCATAGATGTAAATAAACAGAGACACAAAAACAGAAGTTAAATACATTGAGAAAAGAAAAAAAGAAAAAAAGCTTTTGTCATTTTTTGTTTTTACACACACACTGCGCTTTAAAAAATTTTCTTCCACAGACCTAGGTTTGTTTGTTTGTTGAAAAACTGACAGAAATAAAACAAAACAAAATAAAATAGAATGGCCGTGTTTTCGTTTTCATTAAAGAGAAGTTCAGATCATGTCTACGGTGCTGGGGAAAAATATATATAAAGATATAGATATATATATATATTTATATGTATATAACACTGTTAATGAGGAGAATTCTAACTGCCCAGCAGTGCAGCAAGAAGGGACTGAATATTCTCCCCGAGACCCAAAGGAAAAATTTGGCTGCAGATGGGGGAATGGGAAAGGCCGGTAGTTGCTGGAGACAACTTTACCACCCTCTCCCTGCCCTGGTCTGCATAACCCTTTTCTTGTTAGCAGGAGCTCACCACAAGCCACAAAGCTTATGACTTTTATTATACAGCACGTCCAGCAAGTCTGTATCAGGTTGCATGTGCCATGGGGGAAGGTGGAGAAGGAGGGCGAGGTAATGGGATGGTCATAGTTCAGGAAGCAGAAGGGGTTGTGGTGGTGGGATCTGCATGTGTTGCCGTGCAAGTGCATGTCTGCCTTTGACCAAAGTGGGGAGCAAATGAAACAACTTCAGAAGAAGGAAAACACTCTAGTTTGAGATAGGCTTTCAGTGAAAAGTAGTTAGGTGGCCATGTTCCTTGCATATTGTTGTTCCGTGTAGGTTATGGTTGTTTCACATAGGGTTGGATCTAGATGACATTTGTTGTCCTTGGGTCCCATTAAAATGAATGGGACAAGTTAAACCATGACTCAACAGAAGTCCGATTAATTTCAGTGGGATCTAACACTCTGGATCCAACCCCTAGGAGTTAATTGCGCTACTAGGAATTACAGAAGCAACCAAGGCAGAGGACATATTTCTAACCCCACAAGTCACTTTCATAGGAGATGCTCGATACTTTTTTGAATTTCCTGCAACCCTATCAAGATATCGCACTGAGCGGCATTTTATATTTTATTTTACATTTTCATTTCACCCTTTCGTCAAAGAACTCAGGGTGGTATCTATTATACCTGGCATACATGAACAGGGCAGTGTGCATGGTTAATTCACAAGGCCAATTGTTTCGCACACTTAATTATATACCTTTATTTCCAGGAACTAGCATCTGAATTCAAAATGGCTTTTTGTTTACCATGTCATCTACATTTAAAAATGTAGGGTGGGGTAGGATGCATTCTGTAGCATAACTTGTGAAGGTTTCTTTTGTGGTGCTTGGAGGATGGCATCTCAATTAACTGATGGCACCACATCACTTAGGGGAAATAAGTTCTGCATTGACTGGTTCTGTTGACGTGCTTGGTGGACAGCCTTGCCTTGGACTGGCTCAAGTTATTCCTGTCCTTCTAACATGTGACTTTCCTTCTCTACCACCACTGGCTAATTACTTCTCAAGAGAGGAAGATGCCTTTCACAGATTCTGGTTTATTTGCTAAGATTAACATCCACAGTAATAACTAAGCATTTAAAGATATCACATTTTCCCATCAGGATCACTGTATGTCTTCAGATCTTTAAAGGGACAGATAAATGCAGCCTCTCTGAAATACACATACTTGTCATTCACAAGAGGGGAAAATTCTCTATGTAGCCCATGAACAGATGGCATCCTTGTATATCTCTATAAACAAACAAACAAAAACTTGGGTATTTCCTTTCCCTCTCCCCTCTTCAATCACCTTTTGTTAATGCATATGCATGCAAGGGTTACAGTCTTGCATAGTTGTTGTTTTTTAAAGTCACTGAACACCTGACCAAAATTTTATTCTCCAGAAACCACATGCTTTCCACTTCAGAAACCTTTCCGATCATCATTCCTGTGAAAGATTTATTTCCATGTTTCTGTGAATTTGAAGCAAGAGTGAAATATATATTCCCTCTCAAAAGGGAGACTGAAAGCGTCCATATCTCGCATCCCACAAGGAACAACCAAGAAATTTACATTCACAGGACATCTGGATGTTTGTAGTTTGGTGTGATATCAGGTGCAATGAGGACGTCAACTGTGGCACTCGTTGGAGTTAGAACTGTTGTAGCAGATTGTACTAGCAAGTGTACAGAAGGAGTTATGTCCTTTCCACTCACTTGGAATATTTCATGAGAAGGTATAAAGGAATTACAGTACATGATGATGAATGGAGGTCTCCTTTGGTGTGGCTGAAAGCAAAGGCATCTCAGCCTGTCTCTGCCCCCGTTATTCAATGTCCGTTAATCCCCTGAAAACGCTGGTGTGGCCTCAAATATTATATGTCTTTTTTTTTTAGTGATCTAGAGGCATGATGAAAACGATGACATTTGCTTAGTTAATACTGAATTAAAGGCATAAAAACTTAACTTCCACTGAAGTCATTGACCAAACTCCCATTGCCTTCATTGGTGTCAAAACTGTATCCTTGACTTTCAGAAGTCGTACCACTTAAAAGGATCAAATATGCACACAGCATGTTAGGGAGAGAGCTTTTGATTTGTGATCTACGAACTCCAAGGCTGTGGGATGGAAATAATCAAGCTGTCAAGGTACACAGTGACCCTCAGACCTACCTCCTTGGTAGTTTAAAGGCATATGTTGCTGACTCTTTTGCTGCATAGCAAGACACATACAAATGATGGTGCGCTCCAATCATGCTTGGAGTTCGCATGTTCCAAGATGGCTGCCTCCATGCTCTCTCGGTATGCTGTGGAAGAGGCAAGCCTACCACTCCTTTTAAGCCTCAGTCACTTGGGGAAAGGTTAGAAATCTGCTAGCAAGTAATGGGTCATCTAATACCTAAGTGTTTCTTCCTTTGCATGGATGTTACAGGACATTTCATGTCACTCTCGTATATTTACAAACTTGTAGAAGAAATACAATCTTTTTTTTTGTATTTTTGTTTTTATAACACTAAATGTTAAACTTCCATCAATCAAACACGATTACACCTACAGTCTTGAGGAACTGGTGTCCCCTTCTGAATCACCACGCAGGCACGGTGACAGGCTGTAGCTTTTTTTTTTTTTTTAGGGCTGTGAGGGGGGGAAGGAAACAGGGAAGCAGGGACCACACGAGAGGAAAGAGTGGAAACACCATAATGCCCCACCATAAAGTTACTTGCTCTTTCTGACTCCCAGGAACACCTGGTGGCCTTAATGGAAAACAAAACAGAAGTGTTCAGGGGCCAGTGAGAACTGAGGATGTTCAGTTCCTCTCAGGAAGCACAAAAGCAACATTTGAGTTTCCAGAGTAGGGACAAAAAAACTAAATAATTCTTATTCCTCCAAAACAAGTACCACCCGCCATTCTCTCATTAACTAGAGAATGCTAAAAGCTTTGTGACTCCCATGCAAGCTTTCTTTGAAAGTGCCTCTGAATACTTTCATATTACACAGAGGAGAAGCTTGGGCATAGAACAGATAAAAGTGTTGGCCAAGGTGCCATAATGAGTCAGTGACAGAGGGCCTGGGGAATTTTGATTCCTACTCCTTTGTTCCAGCCATGAAGTCTGACAGTTTTCTCCTGTTTCCTGCTTCAGCCCATCTTCTCCTGTCTAAGGAAAACCCTGTGTTTTTGTTTTTTTGTTTTTTTGTTATTTTACAAGTATACTTTAAAAAACATAAGATTTGAGTCTTCTTTTCCTAAAAAAACACACATTGCTGCCAGTAGCACAGTGTTTATCAGCAACTCTACAATAACCAAACAGTGCATTCAGCCCAACACTTATGTGAATGACCCAACCAAAGCAAAGCTAAAGAGCAGATATGGCATTGACACAGAAGAACAATGTTAGTGATGAGGGATTCTGCACTTTGGGGATGGGGGGATGAATGTGGTTTAGCTTCTTTCCCAATAGACCAAAAGTTCTGCTGGGTTGGTGTGCTCACATCCCAAAAGTCCTGACAAAGGGATGAGAAGAGCCAACAATTATGAGAATCACCAAAGCAGAAGCTTAACTCCATTCCAGGAGCAGATGTATGGCTTGCAGTCACCAAGTCACACAAAGACTTAAATCTTGCTTGCTCATCATGGTTTTCAGTCAATACCTCCAGGTATTTCTGCAGGTGCACTGGTGGTTCTGATATACAGTCCAGATATCACTGAATTATCCATTATTCCAGTTGTCCTTCACCTTGACTTTCTTAATATCTGACCAGTGTTGGAAGGAACAGATACATCACAAGATGCTCTTTTCCGTTCCTAAGCTACCTCCCTTCCTAGCTGAAATTTCTTTTGTCCGCAAATATTTTCTGGGTATCCAAATACCTCTCTTAATACCATTGTTTAGGAGGGGGTGGCAGGGAAGCTGGCATGGCCTACTTATCTGCCTCTCCTCTCTGCCTCGTGTTGGAACACAGCTGTAGAATTCACCATGAGTGGAGACTGGGACTCCTATGAGGACTCCAAGGATGTCCTTATAGCACATTTACCAGTCCTGGTTTCTCCCAGGACTCATCATTTTAAACAACAGTTACTAGGGATGGAGCTTTAAATCACAGGGAAAAGAGCCATGGGTGCTCTTGAGTTGCAAAAGTCACCAGAAAATGAATTTCCCTTCATTTTTGGGCTGGTAAAATAGCATCTTTTCACAGTAAAATTATCCAGATTCTGAAAAATGCTAAAAGTAAATTGTGGGCTTATTTCAGAAGGCCATGTTACAGAAGGACTACTTCGCTATGGCAAAGTGAAGGGGGAAAGTGATCTTTTGACAACTTTTCTGCATGAAAAAAAATGGATTGCAAACCAGCCACTAGGGATGAGGAAATGGAATTTGTATCCTTGGCCAGGGACCAAGCCACAATGGTAGACAAGTACATCCAAGCACCCTTTTCTCTTCCTCTCCCCCCTACCACCCTGCTCCTAGGTAAATGTTTTACCTCACTTTTCCAAAGTTGCTACATTGGAACATTGTAGCAATAATACAATTATTATTGTATAATAAAATAGGGATATTATAATTCGATTGTCAAGGGATAATCTTATTTGATGAGCATATAAACCGAGGGTGATGTAGGACTCTGTGTATGAGGTCTGAAATCCACTGAAAGTACCTATCTGGAACTGTCAGGAAGACAAGTGCTTAATTTGGTGGGGACGGACCTCAAGAGTTCAACTTCGCTTCTTCTCCCTTCCTCAATGGCAAGTACCTCACCGGAGAAGCTCAGTTTGAGAAAAGGGAGGACGGTGAAGGAGCTTGCAGTTTCTTTAAAAAAAAAATTATTATTATTATTAAAGAAACCTTCTATTTCAGGTGCTTTGTCCCAGAATTTCCCTTCATTGTGATGGATGTTCCTCAGAAAGAAGGGAAGTAAGTGTGTGTGTATATTTGGATCCCTACTGATACCCGCCCCCCGATCCTACATTTCCAGCTGGAATGAGCAAGGGGTTAAAATAGAACAATAATATATTTCTCACTTGAAACCCAGAGAGAAATCTATCCCCATCCCCAACTATTTTGTCTCAAGTTCCGGGTATTCTGGACTTCCTTTGTTATTATGAAATGATTCCTTCCTGACTCCTATTTTCAGCTACTGAATCCCTATACTACTATTATTTGTTTTATTTATTTCGCTTATTCATCACCTTTCACAAAATTTTTGAAGGCAATGCACAATAACTAAAATACAAATTACAGATACAATTCTATCAGTTGTAGTGGGTTCCTGCTATTGCGTTTTAAAAATTTGTATATTTCATATTTTGTGTGCATTATTTATTTCATTGAGATTTTTTGTATAAGGCAATTAATTTCTTAATGAACTAATTAATTATATAGGGAATCATATTTCTGACTTCTGGCAAGTTTCAATACCAGTAGTGTTGGGAAGGATAAGTTGTTTCAGGTCTGAAAATAAAACTCAGGAACATTGACAAATTTCTCTTTAAAGCTCAGGGTAGAGGGGCATTTTACATGCAAATGTGCAATAAAATCCCAGCAGCTGCTTCTTGTATGGGGGAAAAAAAAAAAACAGATTCAGAAGGAGCAATTTGGAGTAGAGAACCAGTGGGGTACTCAACACTAAACTCATCCATCACTTTCCCACTTTCCCAATCACATCCCCAGAGTCATTTCCTCCTATGCAGTTACACATGTGTTTTTACTGTCATGATCATGGCAGGATTTCATTGCATGCATTTATATGTATAAGCCTGGCAATAAACCCTATCCCTTGCTACTAGATATTCATGCCATTTCTGTAAACAGCATAATACCAGAAGCCATGGCAAGTGAGCCAACCCACAATCCAAGCAAAAGGATGTGTTTTTGCTGGCGCAATTAAAAGCAGCCCAAGTCACAGTGGATTTTTTTCACCCAAACACTCTCTCTCTCTCTCTCTCACGCACACACACACACACACACACACACACACAACCAGCACACCTTTTTGAAGTGTTGGCCAAATCACTAGCAGTACTTTTGTTCAGAGAGTTTTCAGAAAGCAGAATTTATGTGGAGTAATCCATTTGGGATGATCCAGCTTGGTGACCACATGGTAGCTTCCTGCAGTAGTGGTCTGGGACACTTAGGTTGCAAACCTAAGGGTGTGTGTGTGTGTGAAACAAAATGTGGTTTAACTACTTCAGCCAATGCCCTACCAGGCTTTGCCAGAAGGATGGAAGTGAGGGAAGAGGCAACTTTTATATTGCTCTGTTTCCAGACCTCAGGTTTGTTTGCTTGTTAGTTTAACATTTCTTCCCACTGTTTCCAAAGGGAGAGAAAGTGGAGAGAGAGGTTTAGAGACTCTTGGAAGCTGACTGGGAGGGCTCAGGATCCTTCGGACCCCGACTGCTTCTCAGCACAACCCCTATTGGCCCTTTCAACACTGGAGCTCTGAAATCAGTCGGGTCAGAGCACTGAAGGAGCCGGTGCTGTCAGAGAGGGACATCAACTCTTTGATGTTGAATCTCTGTGTCAGAAGTCAGATGGGCAGATCTGAGTTATCTCATGTGATGCCCTCCTAGGGACCATAGGCTTTCAGCCTTACTTGCGAAACAAAAGGATGAGGAGCAATTTTCTATGTGAGTGACGAGGAAGCGCTCTCTTGCTCTCTCTGAAACTAAATTGTGGTTTGGAGATTCATTCTATCTGAGCAGCAGCAGCAGTTTTTGCCTTTTTGCAAGGCACACAATGTGTGCATGTGGGAAGGATTGCTTTGTAAATTTATTTCTCGTCAGACCCATGCCACTGTAGCAAAATTCAGTGTTGGGTATTCCCCAAGAGCTGAATGCTCTCTCCTGTCTGTATCTCACCCTCCAACCACCCCTTACTTCTCTGTTCTGCTTCCTACCTTTACAGAATACTAACTGTCTAACAGTAAATTGCAAGTCTTGGAAGGATGGTACTGAGAAGCCTGGATGGCTGCTTAATTGACTGCCTGAGTCTGCCCCAAACTGCAGACCTCAGCGAAAATAAATCGCTAAAGCAGCAGGAGGGGATTCTGCCATGCTGTTGATCAAGGTGAGAGCTGTCTTGCTGTGTGAGCATGGAGCTACAGGGAGCTTTTTGTAAACGGCTGGTACTCATTATAGTAAAAGGAAGGACTTAATGCATGTGTGAGAGCATGCATACACACATGTACACACACACACACACACACACACACACACACACACACACTCTTCACATCTGTATTTCCAAACTGTAAATGACCACTTTTGCTAATACAGGAATTGCATTACAGGTTAGAACCACTCAGCTTCTACACCTGCTGATGGCACAGTTTAGTTATACTGATTTGAAATGATTGAGAAAAGGAGATATTTGTTGCTTAGCAATTCAGTGGAATGAAAACTATGGATGTGGAACTGGGCAATTTAGAAGAGTAGATTTCCCTTATGCAGTTCCTGCATCCCTCCCACTGCATCCTTGTAGATGAGGAATCTACAATTCCCCAAAGAGAAAGAAGCATTTATATCAATCTTAGTGTTGTTTTTCAGAACCCACCCCTTTTATGGATAAACTGAGACCATGCAATTGGATTGCACTTGTGAGGTCTAGCCAAATTTGTGGCTGGGGCAAAAGGCTGGTACTTTTACCACGGGTTTGACAATAAGCTATGAAGGGCACTCGTTTTCCTTTAATCAACGCATGACATGGGCATATTATATTCATGTTATATTCCTGCTGCCAGTTACACTTGCAATTTCTAAAAATTACAGGCAGCCTCTTTGGGCCAGGAATTCATAAGTAGTTCAGCTTGCCCTTTCTAGGATATTTGGCATCAGGAATGGGAATTACAGGCAACTGTTAGTTTCATATCTGCCCAGTTTTCAATGACAAACCAGTGCAAGTAAAGTACTGAAATAAACAAAGGTGACTCAATTACTGAAAGATAAGGTTCCAACTCACACCAGGGATGCACAGACCCCTCTTAGTGACCTGGCTTGAGACACACAATCTCTTCTCCATCTCCATCTGCAATTTATAATGAGCGTCCAATTAATCTCCTGCACTTGGATTACTTCTGTGGTAGGAATGCCAAGAGCCAAGCACAGTAAAAAATAAAAGAGAAAAAGTTTACACTAAAAACACACACAAGTGGATAGTAGTTGCCTGTCAAACCTTTTTCAAACTTCCTTTTGCAAGGAGACCTCTGCTCAGGTTTTGGAGATGGCTTTCCTAAGTTTCAAACCATAGAAACTTTCTAAGTGTATTTCTGGTTATTTGAAGGGTATAAAGTCAAAATGATGGTAGTAATAGAAATACTTTGTTCTTTCTGGCAGATTTCTATTTGTTTTTACCATAGTTATAAGAAAGTTGACTTTATAGAATTATGTATTGCTGAGTGTTGAGTACAGTGCACCCTCCTGAGATTTCTAATCAGAGGGAAAAAAAGATTGGAAAGCTGATCAGGCTCAGGGGTCATAATGGTTACTACCACGAAATTAATAATTTTAGAACCACTGTGAGATAAAATCCCTACTGGAGAGGGTTGGTTTTTTTGCTTTCCTCTAGTCATCCTATGAAGTCTGAGATCTCCCGGTTACCAGGGTCACCTGACTTTGACCACATCTATTTCAGTTCACACACAGAAAAGATGCCCACCAGTGCAAATTAAGCATAGCAAAAAGGCTGGAGGATAAAGACCAAGGGATAGAGCAATGCTAGGGCTTTGTGTAGCCAAGCTACACATGCTGTAAGTAGCAGTGGCTGGTGCAATATAATTTGCACCTACAACAGGGTTTCCCAAACTTGGATCTCTAGCTGTTTTCAGACTACAGTTCCCATCAACCCTGACCACTGGTTCTGCTAGCTAGGGATAATGGGAGTTGTAGTCCAACAGCAGCTGGAGACCCAAATTTGAGATACTGATCTGCAGGCTGCAGCAGTCTTTCTTCAGGAACTCTTCTCTTTGTCCTGAAGTTAATCTCTCTGGCTTCCTGGACCTTCTGATGAACCTCCTGGATTCTGTTGATTTCCCTCATTTCTTTGACTCCAGACCACTGGTCTTTTATGCACAGAGCCTGCTTGGCCTTGACCAAGCCACACAGCAGATCCTGATGGTGCCTTGCCTGAGGTCAGTGGACAGAACAAGCCCTCTAGACAATGGGCTGTGCAGTTACAAGAAATTTACCAAACATTTGTCCACATTGTGAGATATAATAGATCTAACCTCATTCAACCTTCTCTCATTCCAGACTTTGACACCCTCAAATCTTCATATAATTCATTCAGCAGCCTCTTTGGGACTTGGCTATCTATGGCCTTGGAGGCTCGCCAGTCCTGCTCTGATAAAAGCAAACTGAAGAGTTAAACAGGGACAATATATACGTTCCATTTGAAAGCTACCATGATGAATTCAGCTAGAGAACAGGAGAAGGCTAAGGATCAGCTCCTCAAAACTGGGATCACAAAAAGAAGTTGAGGCAAAATTTTGCTGGGGAAGACTTTGCTCATGTCCTTGCTCCCCTGCGTTCACATCCAAGCTAATGTTTGAACTCATGTACACAGCAAGTCATTATCTACAGCATGATGAGCTTATGTACACAGGGGCTGCCCCCTTTGCATGCTTTTGAGAGAGAGACACGCACACAGATACACCCATGCCTGCCCGTCTATGAACACACACACACTTATGAGAGAAAGCGAGGCCTGTTAAGAACAAGCGGGCAGATGAGTAATGTTGGTATGTTTCGGCATAATCAAAACATTGTGGGCTTACGGTACAAAGGAAAATATGGGAGAGCTTAATAGGGGAAGCAGCAAACAAAGGACCACATGGAGTTTCTTCATGGGACACCAGTAGCTACAGAAATTTGCATCACTGTTTGCTGAAAATCTGGAAAGGTTAAGTATCAATTTAAGAAATAAGCATGCCAATCAAAATGTTGTGACTATCAACACCAAAGCAAAGGCCATCTCTTTCCAGGAAGAAAGGAAGGAAGGAAGGAAGGAAGGAAGGAAGGAAGGAAGGAAGGAAGGAAATGATATGAGGGAATGGAGAGAATAACAATAATTTCATTGTTGATATTTCTTTTTTACAGCATCTTGGCATCCTTGGCAGGATCCAGTCTCCATAGAGTGATCCATCTAGGCTTCCTTACTCCTGGGTGGTCAGTGACTTGACTGTTTGTTGGAATAAATGTTGCTGAATCTTCTTCACTGAAATTTTCCCCCTTTGTTGCGGTACACACATAAAATTGTGAAAGAAACTGTCCTTTCCCCCGTTCTCTCTCTCTCTCTCTCTCTCTCGCTCTCTCTCTTGCTCTGTCTCCTGTATGACACATATTTTTGTTTTGCTTTGTGTGTTGTTGTTCTTGTTGTTGCTGGGTTTTTTATATTTTTTTTTCCTTTTTTTAAAATTCGGATGTTATTAACATTTGCTGAGTAGGCAGAGCACGGAAGCTGCCAAGAGCCACAGTGGTACGGCCAGACACATTGATCCATTGCCTGCTATCCCTGTACCAGGTCCTATGGGACGAGAGAAAGAAGACAAAAAATAGGGGGTGGGGGATTACATACAAACTATACAAGAAGAGAAATACAAAGGAAAAACCACACTCTAGCAGATAAGGTCTGTCTCCCCTGCCCCTGTATTTTTTGTGTCTCCTGCCAGGAGAAATCAGAATGGGAGTAGTTAAGATGTGTTGCTCTTATTATTTATTATTGTTTATTAAATTTGTTAGTCACTTTAACTTACCCAAGGCAACCCAAAAATGCCTTATAACCAATTCCAGAGATGAGCAGATATACGAAGGAGAGAGAAATGCCGTTGGGTGGAATTTGACATGACAAATATTCCATTTGCATATGCATTGTCGCTTGCCAGACAGAACAACCCCCCTCTTCTTCCCACACATACTGTTCCAGGGGTTCTCAGACCAACTGAGGACTGGAGAACTGCATCACAAAAATGGAAGTCCTTGCGCAGGGCTTCTGCAATGGGGCTTGTTAAGTGAATCCTGTCCATTATCTCCATTTGGAGTCCAACCCCTCAATATTTTGAGTGCAGATTTGTATCCACATATATACAGTGGTACCTCCATTTTCAAATGTAATCCGTTCCAGAAGACTGTTTGAGTTATGAAACGTTCGAAAACCAAAAACTCAATACGGAATACTCAATACGGAAAACTCAATATGGAAGCTGAGTGGCATGTTCGACTTCCGAAATGTGTTTGAAAACCGAAGCATTTACTTCCGGGTTTACCGCATTCAAAAAACGAAATGTTTGTCAATGAAGACGTTTGAAAACTGAGGTACCACTGTACACACACACACACACACACACACACACACACAATGAATAGCCTGCCTGGCAAGGATTTTAGGAAAAGGACAACAATATGTTGCTTTTTAAAGCATAAGGCTATCTAATCTACCCACCTACTATCTATCTATCTATCTATCTATCTATCTATCTATCTATCTATCTATCTATCATATATGCCAAATATGAGAGACACAACCTAGTTACTTTGAGATGGGAGGGCAAACCTCAGAATCATCTGTTTTTACTCAGTCAGTGTTGTGTGACAGCTACTAAGAAATCCCTCAACTCCCCATAAGTCATGGATGGTGTGGTTAAGGCTCTGATCCGGAGCACAGGAGAGTAGGGGGTCATTGCAGTATGTAGGATGCAAGCTGTTCAAAGGATTTATAGATAAAAATGTTTTCCTCATAAAAGTTTCATTATCATGCAAATTAGGATTCATCCACACTTCATCTTGTCTTGTGGTTAGAAAGCACAGCTATGATCAGTTTGCCCCACAGCTTAATCCTGGAAAGCACACTCTTTACTGTGGAATTGGAACAAACAGCAATCCGCCTCCAGCATCACACTGAGTTGAAGAAGGTGGAGTTGGGATTGATATCTGTTTTTGTTGGTAACTGACTGTTTCTCCCACTAAGGAATGGATCACAAGCTACTGAAAAAGTTATCAGCCTCCCTTTAAGGACGGGTCCCCATTTCCTGTCAGAAAGTCGTGTGGGGGGGGGCAGAGGGAGAGCCTGAGCAGTGGCTCTCTCTTTGAGCTTTTGTTCCCTCCTCCCTTCCTTGGGAGGCAGTGTGGTCCACCTGTTTGCTCTCCCTGTGTGTGGTGGCCCTTGAATGCCAGGACTCGTTATAATTCTGCACATTGACGACCGTCTGCTTACAGCCAGACGCTGGCTCCTCCGGGGCAGATTCATCACAGCACTCTAATCAATAAAACATGGAACCAATCAGCAAATGCCTTCAGTCCCAGGGGAGGTTGCATAATTATTTATCTGGTAATCGGGAGGGGGAATTATTTCAATGTAACGTTTGTGCTCCTGCAGAGCAAGTCCTATGGGGAGGAGCAACAGGAATGCCAGCAAAGCTTTGATTTTTACAAGGGTGGGGGAAACAGAAGGCGCTCACTGCCGCAGCAACAAATAATGCAGAATCGCAACAGGACTATTAACTGCTAACACGACGGACGTCCTTTCATTCAGCTTCCCATTTGCTACTCTCCTGCCTGGAATGATCTCCAGGCAGAGATTCCGTTTGGTATTCCCTGTAGTGGCAGCTCTGTACACCCTGCAATATATGCCTGTGAGTCAGTCAATGTTGCATTTTGCATTATGTAAATCCAATAGAATCCTTTGCTCCAACCTGAACCTCAACTATTCTGAAGACTCCTATTTAGTTTATCTCTTGCTAGCTAGAGAAATGTGGGGCCAAACACACGCTCTATGAAGTGCTCTTCCCTGGTCTAACCTCCAAGACTGTATGCAGGAAGCCCTGCTCAGAAAAAAAGGATATTTGTTATTGATCAAGTATTTGGGTGGAGGAGCAGAGGACTGAATTAAACCCCCCTCCTGCCCCCTCCTCACAAAACAGCTGATCAGTAAGATTGCTGATAAACTCACAAGGATAGGAGCACTGTCTTAGCTGCTGTACACATATACATCTGCATCAAAATCCTAGTTATGTGAATTCTACTACAGAGAATTCTACTGTTGGACAGGGAATGCTGCTATACCTTGACAACAGTGACAACTCAACACAGCAAATTACCCCACTCCCTTTTTTCGCAGGAGAGGATGACTGAAAAAATGCAAGGCCATTGCACCGCCTTCCAATTAGCTACCGGGCTAAGGTCAAGAAGCTGGTTTTGGTGCATAAGGCCCTTTACAGTTTGGGACTAGGATACGTGAAATATTGCCTCATTCCTTATATACCTAATTGATGTCTGAGTTCTGCAGGTGAGGCCCTCCTACAGATATAATCTTATCAGGAGGTCTATTCTACACAAGGTAAGAATTGGACTTCTGGTATTGTAGAGAGATAACAGACTCAGAAAAGGGGTTTTTTCAGGCATGGCATTCAAAGAAACGTGTTTTAGGGCACCACACAAGACCACAGACCTGAAAAGAAACATTTTTGGAGGTGGAATCCTGTCCCAAAATTGTGCTAGAGGAAGTAACCCCCAATGGCTGCTGTTGTTTCACAGCAAAAAAATTGGCATGTCCCATTTTTTCTGGGGCAGTTGACAAGTATGCTAGTATTTGTTGTGTGGTGGTTATTGTATGGTGTCATCACTCCTCAAATTAACATTATTAATAATATAGTATTTGCTGAATAGCAGACTGTGTGTATGCACATTTAAATTTCATTAGCCATCATAGAACTCAGTGGGGTATACAAGATGTTTCTAGGAGGTCTCCCATATAGACACTGACCAAGCCCCAAACTGCTGAGCTTTGGCAATGTGCCCTTAGACTATGCCTTGGGATCAACACACTTCTGTTTACGGTGCCACTGTGAGAATAGGATGCTGGATTAGACAGGCCTTTGGCCTGATCTTGCAGGGATCTTTCTATATGCTTTGTCCATTTTGGCATCTTCAACAAAATATGGTATCAAAGATCCTATGAATCAGAAATGCCTTGAGATGATTTTACAGTGTGAATTGGTTAATGTATTATCCTACATTAGCTTTTGAATATATATATATTTTCCTGACACGGCTGCTTAGTATTTTGTATCTTTTCTGCCATCTTCATGTGGAGAGTGAGGGCCTCCACACTCTGCTTAGGGAAAGGGCAAACTAAATTTTCTTCTGAGATGCTAAAGTCACAGCAGCAGCAGTTGGTGGGACAGTGCAGGTAGAGCAGCGTTGCTCACCAGTTCTCCAAACACTGAGCATTGCTGCTAGTTCCTCAGAGTGGGAGGCGATGGGCAGCTCAGAGTGGTGTTGCA